AACACTCTGCGGGAGAACACACTGAGCGGATCTGCGCATCTCACTCAGAGAAAACAGCTTGTGTACCTCAAATATTTTCACTGTGCTCTTCATTCTTGTGTACATTTTTCAACTTAAGCGCACATGCGACGTGCCCCTGTAAAAAAGGTCAGCGTAGAGACCTGCTATACTATACTCTACTTTTCTTTACTGTATTGGACTGTAATGTACGTATTGACTGTACTAATGTACTGTATTGGACTTATGTACTGATTTACTACTGTGCTCTATCTGTACTGTACTGTACTGAACTGTATTGGCTGTACCCTACGGTAGCTCTAACCGTGCTCAAACTCATTGTATTGTACTTCTACTCTACTCTACTGTACTAATGTACTCTAATCTACTGTGCTGTACTGTCCTGTATTTTGAACCTTTACCTTTCCTGGTAGATGTTGTCTAAGACCTATTTTCTGTTCATCCAGAAATAAAAGCCTTTACTTATGCCTACTTTAAGATGGAAAATGTTGGAAAAGGAGGCGGAGAGGAGAGAGTTGGGAGGGGGAGAGAGAGAGAGTAGAGAGTGGGAGGGGGGGAGAGGGGGAGGAGAGAGTGCGAGGGGGACGGAGGAGGTTGGGAGGGGGGAGAGAGAGAGAGTGGAGGGGGAGAGCCGAGAGAGAGAGTTGGCGAGGGGGGAGAGAGAGATTGGGAGGGGAGAAGAGAGAGAGAGAGAGTTGGGAGGGGGAGAGAGAGGAGCGAGTGGGGAGGGGAGAGAGAGGAGAGAGTTGGGAGGGGGAGAGAGGGAGGAGGAGAGGAGAGAGAGAGTTGGGAGGGGGAGAGAGGAGAGTGGGAGGGAGGAGAGAGGGAGAGTTGGAGGGGGAGAGAGAAGAGGGTTGGGAGGGGGAGAGAGAGAGAGGAGGAGTTGGGAGGGGGAGAGAGAAGAGAGAGTTGGGAGGGGGAGAGGAGGTGGAGAGAGAGAGAGTTGGAGGGGGAGAGAGGAGGGATGGGGGAGAGAGAGAGAGAGTTGGCGAGGGGGAGGGAGAGGAGAGAGAGGGATAGAGGAGTGGGAGGGGGGAGGAGAGAGAGTGGAGGGGGGAGAGAGAGAGAGAGTTGGGAGGGGAGAGAGGAGCGAGAGTTGGGAGGGGAGAGGAGAGAGGAGAGAGAGAGTTGGGAGGGGGAGAGAGAGAGCGAGGAGTTGGGAGGGGGAGAGGAGAGAGAGGAGAGAGAGAGAGTTGGGAGGGGAGAGAGAGAGGAGTTGGGAGGGGAGAAGAGAGGAGGAGAGAGTGGAGGAGGAGTGGGAGGGGAGAGAGAGAGAGAGAGAGAGTTGGGAGGGGGAGAGAGAGAGCGAGTGTGTGAGACAGACAGATGCACACACCTCTATCCGACACTTTGCCTCCCTGACCTCAAACAGCAGGTGCTAGTTCAGTGTTGTTCAGTGTAATTTAGACTGCTAACAGAGCTGCTAACAGAGTCCAGCAGAGCCAGCAGGCTGCACAGACGCTACAGCAGACAACTGTAGGAACAAACTATTGACTTCCACATGTTTTTGTTTCGGCCCGCCCATGTATGCACAGCTATTTCCTGTTGTTCATATGGGCCAACAGAGGGCTATGCCAAAACACAACAGGCAGGGCCGCTGGCCCATATATTAGAATGCTTCACAAATGGCAACCTATTCCCTAAAAGTAGTGCACTAAATAAGGACTAGGGTGTCAGTTGGAACCCAGACGGTATCATAAAAGTCTTATCCTCAGAAATTGTGAATGTAGGCCTATGGTCATTTATCCTAGCTATCTTATCATGGCTAATCAACGACAGGACATCTCCAGAGGGCAGTAGGGTGGAGCTCAGGAAGTCCATCTCCTTATCAATTCTTCCTGGTAGTCAGTTTGGGCTGTTGGTTTACCTATGTGGCCAATGGCAATGTCCCAGATGGCACCCTCTTTCTTTTATAGTGCAATACCTATGACCAGGACCCTGTGTGCACTATAAATGGAATATGGTGCCATTAAGGACGCACTCCATGATAGAGGGTAGTCAGCGAGGACCGTTGGGTTATCTATACAGTCGGTGAGGACCGTTGGGTTATCTATACAGTCGGTGAGGACCGTTGGGTTATCTATACAGTCGGTGAGGACCGTTGGGTTATCTATACAGTCAGTGAGGACCGTTGGGTTATCTATACAGTCGGTGAGGACCGTTGGGTTATCTATACAGTCGGTGAGGACCGTTGGGTTTATCTATACAGTCGGTGAGGACCGTTGGGTTTATCTATACAGTCTGTGAGGACCGTTGGGTTATCTATACAGTCGGTGGAGACCGTTGGGTTATCTATACAGTCGGTGAGGACCCGTTGGTTATCTATACATTCGGTGAGGACCGTTGGGTTATCTATACAGTCAGTGAGGACCGTTGGGTTATCTATACAGTCAGTGAGGACCGTTGGGTTATCTATACAGTCAGCGAGGACCGTTGGGTTATCTATACAGTCAGTGAGGACCGTCCGTGAGGACCGTTGGTTATCTATACAGTCGGTGAGGGACCGTTGGGTTATCTATACAGTCGGTGAGGGACCGTTGGGTTATCTATACAGTCAGTGAGGACCGTTGGGTTATCTATACAGTCAGTGAGGACCGTTGGGTTATCTATACAGTCGGTGAGGACCGTTGGGTTATCTATACAGTCAGTGAGGACCGTTGGGTTATCTATACAGTCAGTGAGGACCGTTGGGTTATCTATACAGTCGGTGAGGACCGTTGGGTTATCTATACAGTCGGTGAGGACCGTTGGGTTATCTATACAGTCAGTGAGGACCGTTGGGTTATCTATACAGTCGGTGAGGACCGTTGGGTTATCTATACAGTCGGTGAGGACCGTTGGGTTATCTATACAGTCAGTGAGGACCGTTGGGTTATCTACACTCTTAGAAAAAAGGGTTCC